AAACTAAACGGTAAAAAAACGGTTAAAAAAAAATTTAAAAATTTAAACCTTTAACCTTAACGGTACCCCGGTTTACCCCGTTTACGTTAAGTTACGACTAAATTAAATTTACTTTCCGTTTCGGTTTTAGTTTTAATTTTTAGTTTAAAAGTAAAAGGTAGGGGAAAGGTAAGGTAGGGACGAAACCAAAACTAGTAGGAAAGTAACTACTAGGTTTGGGTTTGGGTTGGGTACGAACGACGACTAGTAGTTAGTTTAGTTAGGTAGGAAGGGGGGGGGGGGGGGCACTTTGGTGATAGTAGAGTTGAAAATATGGAGAAGTTAATTTTTTTTAACAATTAAGAGTTTGCCTATTTTTATTGTGGGTCGGATTTTGGGGTTCGGTTGGGGATCTTTACCTATATGTACTACATTAGAAACTTATNTGTGATATAAAATGCATATGAGTTGTTGAATATGATGGAAATGTTATTGTTGGTTATGGAAATTCTTTGTGAATTTGTTGTTGTTATTCCTTGAGTAATTGTTGTTGTAATTCTTGAGATTGTTGTTGTTGTTCTTTGTGAAGTATTGTTGTTGTTGTGTGTTTGTGAATTGTGATTTGTCCGATGGGATCGGATTGCGCGCCGCAACACGAAGTAATAAGGTGTGGGTTGTGGTGATAAGGGTGGCCGAGGTAATAAGGGTGACCGAGGTAATAAGGGTGGAAAGTGATCGAAATCACTATTGAAATTACATAAGATAATCAAAGAACCCATTATGAATTCATAGGCTTTAAATTCCAGAATCCTGTTTTTTCTTCACAATTTTTGTAAAACTTTGCAAACTCTTAATAAGCTGTTAGGCCCAAATGGTAAAACTTTTATGGCCTGGTTTCTGCTTCATTCAAGTCTTAATTCAAGGAAGGACAGGGACAGTCTCAGGTAGACAGTTTCTATGGGGCGTAGGCCTCCCAAAAGGTAACGGAGGCGTGCAAAGGTTTCCTCGGGCAAAATCCTAATTTTACAACAAAGAAAGGACATCAAATCGGAAAAAAATTAATAAATTCCTAATCGGACCCTTTCGATTAGCATAATATTCTCGTTGTTATTATTTGAAAATGGAGGAATGGAGCAAACATGAGAATCATGGTTGTGGTGACAGCATGATTGTTATGGAGAAGGGGGGGGGGGGCACTTTGGTGATAGTAGAGTTGAAAATATGGAGAAGTTAATTTTTTTTAACAATTAAGAGTTTGCCTATTTTTATTGTGGGTCGGATTTTGGGGTTCGGTTGGGGATCTTTACCTATATGTACTACATTAGAAACTTATTTACCCTCACTGTTTAGGTTTTAACTTAATTACAAGTTGATATACAGTTTACCAATTATATACAAATTAGTATTAATGAGTATCCCATTATATTCGGAATTGAATAGGAAATTCCCTCCTCTCTCTCTCTCTCTCCCTCTTCAATCTCTCATTCTCTATCAGTATTCTTATATTAATATCTTCATGTGGATTAACTGAAGAAATGATACTAATGTTACGTGAAAAAAAGAGAGAAGATTAGTACCTAGCAAAGTTCTTGCTTCAAATCCTATGAAAAAGAGGAAGAAATAAGAAAGAAATTAGCTCTGATGAAGAGAATCATTTTAGTTATCATTCCTTTAGCTTTATGGAATCAATAAACAAAGTAATATTAATTAGAAGCGAGTAGATTGAATTGGAAACTGTGTTAATCCATCAAAAACTCCATTGACAGCCATTTAAAAGTTTCAAAGCTTTGATTTGAAAATGGAATTTTATGAAATTATATTTTGTATGGATAGGGTGTTGTTGCAAATGATTGGGAATATCCGTTAGAGTTCATATTTCAAATTTGAGACAATTTGGTGAAGATTCGAGGTGGTTTTGGTTGAAATTTCACATTGAAACTCGAAAAAGAAGACATGAATAAATTGTATATATTTTGTATGACGAATGTAGAAACGGTATACAAAATATCTACAAGTTACATAATTGTATATAAGTTGTATATAAATTGTATGTGAATTGAAGTTTTTGACCGGATTCAGTACAAAAAATATGCATTTATGTTGTAGATAAATTGTAGATTTTGACCGAATTTGTATATATTTTGTAAAAAAACTTTTGTTACTTCCTGAATTGTAAGGGAGATTTGCAGTCGTACCCTATATTTGTGTCACCTTTTAACCTGTACCCTATTATTAAAAGTTATTGATTCGGTAGCCAGCTGGCAAAAAATTCATAATAATATGACAATTATACCCCTGACAGTTGCCTTCTTTTCCCTACCATTACAGAAGCCTTTCCATTCCCTTAATTTTCGGGTAAAAAAGAAAATGGGTAAGAGCGCTAGTACTTCTACTGCTCTTTCAATTTCAAGCACAAATCAAGATATCAAACCAAATACCCTTTAAGTAGAAAAGAAGAAATTAGAGGGACAAATTGTGAGAAAATAAATCTTTGTTATTGTCACGACCCTAAAATCGATCCGGTCGTGATGGCGCCTATCATGAAACTAGGCCAGCCGACACAACTCCCGAATTAACCATTTATTAATAGAAGTCATTTTTAAGCCTTTAACTAATCAAATATTTCATAATGTAAGTCTAAATGAACAATGCGGAATAAATACACAAGCCCGACATCGGGGTGTCACAAGTCACGAGCATCTACTAAGGTCTGAATACAACTAAGAGTCTAAAAATGTACTAAATACAGTCTAAGGAAGACAAGAGGGAGAAAAGGAATGCTGCGAACGTCGGGCAGCTACCTTGCTAACTCCAATGACTCTGCCACTGAGCAATCAACACCTACTACCGGGTTCAGAAATACCTGAATCTGCACACAAGGTACAGGGAGTAATGTGAGTACACCAACTCAGTAAGTAATAAAAGTAAATGAAAGCTGAGCAGTAAGAAAATACGTAAGCCACATCATAACATACAGCAAATACAGTACATTTCCAAAACAGTACAGAAATTATTTATTTCGTAAATCAAACTCAGTTTTAGTAAAAACCCTTTTTTTTTAAAACATCTTCCAATAGTTTCAAACGAGTGATTAAAAAAAACAGTGAGTAAAAATGATAGAAACGTAAACAGCCCCTCGGGCAAAACATGTACCATAAACCGCCCCTCGGGCACAATATCAACAGAACCAACCCCTCGGGCTACCTCACAATCACTCGTAATCAGCCCTTCGGGCATAACATAAATCAAGAACCGCCCCTCGGGCAAAACATGGATCAAGAACAGCCCCTCGGGCAACAATATGAAGCAACAACAGCCCCTCGGGCTACATCACATCACTCACACTGGGTACCCGCGCTCACTGGGGATGTACAGACTCCGGGAGGGGCCCCTTACGGCCCAAGCGCAATAACAAGCCATCTCGTGGCATAATCAAACAGGCTCTTGGCCTCATATCAATCACAAGCCACCTCGTGGCATAATAAATCACGCCCTCGGCCTCTCATATATCACAAATCAGTACCACATGCTGCAGCGTGCAGCCCGATCCCATGATATCCTTACAACACAGACCCTCAGTCTCACTCAGTCAGATCTCACTCAAGCCCCTCGGGACAGTAAAACAAGTACTCGGCTGAAAATCATTTATGAAATCAAAAGGAGTGAATAAAACCGAGTTATGAAAACAGTAAGAACATAGCATGACTGAGTGTAAACATTAAACCAAAAAAGTGAGGAAAACAATAGTAAAAGCCCCTAAGGGCCCAAACATTCGGCACAAGGCCCAGACACGGCATTTAGCCCCAAACACAATAATATTTTTCAAAATATAACAATATCAAATAGTTTTCAAGTAAAATACGCGATTTAATAGTCGTACAGGATGGACCAAGTCACAATCCCCAACGGTGCATGACCCCACGCTCGTCATCTAGCGTGTGCGTCACCTCAAAATAGCACAACGATGTGAAATCGGGGTTTCATACCCTCAGGACAGTATTTACAATCATTACTTACCTCAATCCGGTCCAACTCTAGCCCGCGATGCCTTTGCCTCTCGAATCGGCCTCCGGATGCTCCAAATCTATCCAAAACAGATTTATACCGTCAAAATATGCTAAGGGAACAAAGCCCACTCGAAAATAACCAATTTACATCAAGAATCCCGAAGTTGACCAAACCCGACCCCCAGGCCCACGTCTCGAAATCCGATAGAAATCGCAAAACTAGAATCCTACACTCTCACGAGTTCATACATATCAAATACATCAAAATCCGACCACAAACAATCCCTCAAATCCCTAGATTTAGGTCTCCAATTTCCAAGCCCTAACTTCCAATTTGCTACTGATTTTCCCATATAATTCAAGCTTACAACCTTAAAAATCCTCATAAAAACGAGTTTAGGGACCAAGGACCTTACCTCTAAGAAACCTTCTTTAATTCCCCCTTCAATTAGCTCTCCAAAGCTTTCTCCCGAATGAAATATGGTGAAAATCGCGAAGGGTGAAATTTATATATTCTGACCCAGCAAAACCGCACCTGCGGCTAAATGGTCGCATCTACTCTACCGCTTCTGCGGTCAAAGCACCGCTTCTGTGGTTACTCACTTAAGTCCCATTTCCGCACCTGCGACCCAGGCTCCGCATCTGCGGGCCCGTAGGTGCGGATCACATCCCGCATCTGCTCCTTCTCTCACTTCGCCTGAGGCCGCTTCTGCGGCTCCATATCCGCTTCTGGGAGTCCGCACCTGCGGTCCCCTAGTCGCAGGTGCGGTTATGACAGCAATAGAAAAACTTCAGCTGCCAAACCTAACTCAAAAACTTCCGTCAACCATCCGAAATTACCCCGAGGCCCCCGGGACCTCAACCAAAAGCACAAACAAGTCATATACCACTATCCACACTTATACCAATCTTCAAACAACATCGAATCAACCAAATCACATCGGATTCAAGCCTAAGGTTCCAAAAACTTCTAAATTCCGCTTTTGATCAAAAAGTCTACCAAACCTCGTCCGAATGACCTGAAATTTTGCACACACGTCACATTTGACACAATGAACCTACTGCAACTTCCGGAATTCCATTCCGACCCCTATATCAAAATTTCACCTATCAACAAGACGCCGAAATTTCAATTTCGCCAATTCAAGCCTAAACCTTCCACGGACCTCCAAAGTACACTCCGATCACGCTCTTAAGTCCCAAATCACCTAGCGGAGCTAACCAAATCATAAAAATTCCAATCCGAGATCATATGCTAACAAGTCAAAACTTGATCAAACCTTTCAAATTTTAAGCTTCAAACTGAGAACTGTCCTTCCAAAACTATTCCGATTACCCTGAAAACCAAAACCGACGATTTACATAAGTCATAATACATCACACGGGGCTAGTCATGCCCGAGAACTGTCAAGGAAGTGCAAACGCTCAAAACGACCGGTCGGGTCGTTACGGTTATCAAACACAGGATTAGCCATGAAGGATCTATATGTTCTAAAGACTCAAAAGATAATGTCAAGAAAGCAACTGAAAATGCCAACAACAGTAATGGGGAATCTGGCAAGAAGAATGCTACTATTTTTGTACCAGCGTCGTTGTTTATTCGAAACTTCAGTCTAAATATGCTTAAGTTATTTAGTTAATTTGCTAAAACTTTAGTTTAAACATGCTGAAGTTATTTAGTTCATTTTGCGAAAACTTCAGACTAAACATGCTTAAGTTTTTGTCTTGCAGAATGTAATTTTCTAATGAATTTTTGCTAATGCATGCTGAAGTTATTTGTTCATTTGCTAAAACCCCAGACTAAACATGCTTAAGTTATTTAGTTCATTTGCTAAAACTTCAGACTAAACATGCTTAACTTTTTTAGTTCATTTGCTAAAACTTCAGACTAAACATGCTTAAATTTTTGTCTTACAGTATGTAATTTTCTAGTGAGTTTTTTCTAATGCATGCTGAAGTTATTTAGTTTATTTGCTGAAACTTCATACCAAAACATGCTGAAGTTTTATCCTGCATTCTACAATTTTGTCAATAGTCCTGAAGGGCAAAATCGCCTTTTTAAAACGCTTTTAACAAAAAAATTGGGTACGGATGCAAACGAAAAAACAAAACGGGTATAAGTTAAAAAGGGGCGACCAAATAAGGCGTCCCATGCAATTTTTACGAATTGTAAGAAGCCTGAAATTGTTATTTTGCACATTATCAAACATAACCAGCCAGTACACCAGAAAAGAGAAGTGCCCCTATAGGATTGTCGCGCTGCATGAAGTTGAATATTATGCCAAAATGTTCCAAGCCAAAAAGCTCGGAGGCAGTTTGAATCATTACAGCAAACTGAACACCGAGGCAAATTCCTAGCAATGCAGTGGCAGCATAGAGAGTACCACTCAGAGCTGAAGCATACAGAAGGAATGTTACAATCATGATGATTTGTGTTACCATCTTCCAAAATGTCCGTGGAATTGTTTTTGACCTGCAATAGACATGATACAAGTGCTAACTGTTGGTCACAACCAACCCAGATAGCAATCACGAATTCAAGTCATTCTTGAAGTTAGCATTGAACTACTGCATTATCAATCATGAGAATGAGGAGCTAGCAATCATGAAGATGGATATATTTAAAGCTAGTAATACTACTATCATTTAAGTAACGTCAAAAAATGAAAGCACTTTATTCCCTACCCCCCACCCAAGTGAGCAAGAGAGAGAATTTCAGCACACTAGCCACCTTCCTTCTTGAGAAACAAAAGAAATATGTGGAAGAAGCCAGATTATTACCGCACGAAGTGTTCAGAAACAACACCTGCCCAAGACGGCCCAAGAGAAATTGCAAAAGCTGAAAAAACTCAGCAATATCGTTGTGTCATTTACACCAAGTGCAACTCCAATCTGTGCTAAATTATTTAGAACAGTTACACCAGACCCAACACCAAGGAAGTATACTACCCACAGAAGTCAGAAGTCAGCTTTAACAACAGCTTCACGAACTTGAAGTCTTCCCCTCTTCTAGGTTTCCTTTTCTTCTTCACTGCACCCTCGCCCTCGGCCAGCAGCATGACCACCTCAGAAACTCTTCACCTTCATGAAAGCTCCCAAGGTCTGCTTCTGATGAAATTGGAGTTAATAAGGGCGCCGTTTGGCTGGAACTGACTTCTTCTTCAGTCAAATTGTTTGAGGAACCATCTAATTTTCCAGATCTCTTGCGAAGGGACGGAAACAGTGTCATCTTCACTGGAATTGCTAGAGGAGACATCAACAAAATAACCATTACTCCAGCAAGCATATAGGAGATAGAAAATGGACATGCTCTGAGGAATCCTCGCCCGAAGCTGGTGTGCAAGCCCGGATAAAGTACATTATGGCCAAACAGATGATGGGAATTCCCAATGCTAGAAAAAGCAGTAAGTCCGAAGCTGAATCGTTAAGAACCATAGCAATAACTCAGGCCAGCATAGCCTTTCAGTATTTTGGCAACAGTGCCTCTACTGAGACGGAAGTTCCTCATATTGGTGACAAGTACCGCTGTGCCCATCCATGCACTGCTGTTTGTAGCAAATACCAGTGCAAGCCAAAGCTGCCATTCAATTAGATATGGACAAAGATAACCATGTGAAACAAGTTCTGAACTATGTGATCAAGTTCTGTAGAACAAACATGCTTAAATTTTGTTATAAAGCTGTTAACAAAATAAAATGTCAAACACGGAAATTATGTCAATGGAAGTCATATCAAGAAGTGAGCCTTTAGAAGGTTCAGAACATTGCACTCATTTTCACACATTTCAATCTCATTAGAAGAATCTCTAGACTTCTCAAAGATCACTGAAAACGCAATAACAATAGTTAAATGAGACACCGTCTAGAAATGGTTGGTGACACTTGGTTTTTCCTCCAATTATTTCTCAACTATCTATTCAAGTCCAAATGATGAAAAGGAAATATATATTCCAAGCCAACTTTCTCAACAAAAAATAAATCTATTCCCTGCCAAACTGAACATGAACTCGTACAACAGAGATTAAACATACCAAACACACCCTATGTAGCAAACTGGCGATGATCTTCAACTAATACTTGCCAAAATTCTACATCAATGATAGAAATCTAATAGAAATCAAAACATTATTCTCAAAGGTGTAGTCCACGTAGCAAGGTGCAAGAAAATGGAGGTTCAGTAGCAATCAGCCAGCCAAGTCCAGAAAGTTGATGAAGAAAACTCTGCTGGAACATCTTCCTTTATAAACCCCTGCAGGCAGAGCAGTCACGGCTGTCAATTTACAAATGAAAGCAGTTTCGAATGTCATATACAAGAAATTTGCAATGTGAGAAAAGTGTTTTACTTTAATCAGAAGGAAAGTTGACTAAAATATGAAAATACAAAGAATCATGCAAAGCTATATTAGCTGAGAGTCTTAATAAAAAATGCTTCAAAACCCATGAAATGTGAACAGGAAACAAATGCATATCTCGAGCAATTATCCTGTTATATTTGTTATATTGTTTTCCCTATGGGAGAAGAATTGTGAGTCATAAAATGACTTTTCAAGGCTCAAAATATAATTTTACAATTAAATGTAAGTAGATTTCATCTGCATATGGCAAACATCTTAAGTGCAGTTCGCTTAGGCAGCTGTGGATAGAGTTGGCAACAGACGTGAAGCTCCATACATGGCACACATCACAAAACTTGAAAGACAAGGGAAAGCAAGCAATGCCAAAAGGATGGCAGCAGATGCAGGATCCTATCTTCAAGTTTGAGGTTAGCAATACCTACCCTTTTTTCCCCTTTTACACCCTTCTTATAAATAGGGAGTGTCAAAGCTTCACTCATTACAAGCTTCACAATATTCCCTCTAAACCCATGTTCATATGTGATAAAATGTTGTTCATATTAGAAAGGATATGTAGAAAGCTTTCTACTCACTGAATGTATCACTTTCATTTGCTCTAAAATTTTCTACAAGGACTTAATTTCCCCAATAATTTCATGCTCTACTTTTAAGCATGTGCACATAGAGTGAGACAAAAGGATTATGTCGGTCAGCTACAGAAAACAGCTGAGTGCACAGATCTTCTTTCCCAATATATCCTTTTTCTTTTGCTCAGTGGTGTGGATAACAATTAGATGGCATTTTTGGAGAAATTCTTTGCCCGGTGTCTAGTTTTGTCCTTGGACCCCATGCTTTATGTTGCCTCTAAATATTCAGAGTACAACTATGAACAAGAATCCTTTCTTAGTCTTATTCCACAACATGAGTAACTCATGATCTTCAGTAAGAAAAACTAGGAAAATGTACACTTCCTTCCAAGAACAGAAAGCTCCTAGCCTCCTTTTTTTAGCTTGCCAGATACCCATGACCTCGTCCTCACCATACCTTTCAGCTTCATATCCCTTTGGGCCCTGTAGTTCTCCACTCTCCATGCACCAATCAGCTTTTGGCCCTTCAATTGGAGGGGTGAATCCAGAATAAGAGCACCGGCGACAGACTAGTATGTTTAATATCACGTACACCCAATGAGCAGTGAACGAGGACGAGAAATGGCTAATGTTCACCAGAATCATTTTAGTCATTTTGTGAACGAATGCTAGTTCTAAGATAGAACGATTGAACAAATAGACTGCTTGCATTTCTCCATGTGTCCAATCCCTTCAGTTAATGAAATGCCCGCGAGATCCTAAACTCTGAAGCATATTTAAATTTGGAATAACGACACGGCAAAGATAAGAGAATCGAAACACTTGCATACATTGTATCTCAACTCAAGGAACTTATCGAAATTCAGCACTTATACATGAATTCCACATATCGTTGGTAAATGTGGTTATTTCTGATGTTTACACCTGAGCTCTTCCATTTTGTAAAGGGTAAAGTGCAATGGACATCAACTTCTTAAATCAGTGTCTTATAAACCAAACGAAAGAAAGAGTCAATTCCAAATCAGATAAAATTGCTCTTCAGTCATCACCACGTAAAGTACACCCAATGACAAGGCACTAGAGTAGTTCAGTGATCAAACAAACTGCAAACGTTGCACACATTTAGGTCTTATCTGCATTATGATTTTAGTATTTGACTCCTTTTACCCCCACCTTTTGTTACATTAGATATGCACATGCATATTTAAATGGAGACAGCCCTTTGGCAAGCTTATTTGACTCAAGATAAGCTTAGCAAAAGAGATATTCAACTAGAAAAGGCCTACGATAAAGACCCGAGGGAGGTCATGTGGAGATGTTTGGAGGCTAGAGGTGTACCTGTTGCTTACATTAGGACGATTAAGGACATGTATGATGGAGCTAAGATCCGGGTGAGGACAGTGGGAGTTGCCGTTGTGCATGTTATTTGCATACGGCATTGTATTGATTGACGAGATGCGAGGCAGTGTTACCACGAGGTAAGAGATGTGGAGGCAGACCCTGGAGTCTAAACGTTTCAAGTTGAGTAGGACTAAGACATAATACTTGGAGTGTAAGTTCGGTAGGGCGACTCAGGGAGTAAAAGGGGAGGTGAGGCTGGATACACAATTCATCCCTAGGAGAGGAAGTTTTAAGTACCATGGGTCAATTTACAGGGAAATAAGGAGATCGATGAAGATGTCACACATCGTATTGGGGTGGGATGGATGAAATGGGGACTTGCTTCCAGTGTTTTGTGTGATAAAAAAGTGCCAACAGAGCTTAATGGTAAGTTCTACAGAGTGGTGGTCAGGCCGACTATGTTGTATAGGGCCAAGCGGTCAGTCAAGAAATCATGTCCAGAAGATGAAGGTAGCAAACGTGAGGATGTTGATATGGATGTATGGGCAGACGAGGTTAGATAAGATTAGGAATGAAGTTATTCGGGACAAGGTGGGTGTGGCCCCCTGCTGAGGACAAGATGCGGGAAGCGAGGCTTAGATGGTTTGGACATGTGAGGAGGAGGAGGAGCACAGACGCCCCGGTCAGGAGGTGTGAGAGGTTGTCATTGGAGGGCCTAAGGAGAGGTAGAGGTAGGACGAAGACGAATTAGGGAGAGGTGATTAGGCAAGAGATGGTGCAACTTCAGCTGACAAGATATGACCCTTGATAGGAAGGTGTGAAGATCGAGTATTAGGGTAGCAGGTTAGTTAGTTTAGTGTTCTCCATGTTCATACCGGTAGTATTAGTAGATATTTTCGTATTCTATTGGTATTGGATTTCTATGACTACCTGTCATTTCTTTCATTTCGGTCATCTTACTATCTGGTTGTTATTTATGTTGCTTTTACATGGCTTCTCGTTGTTGTGCTTGTTTTTCTCTTCATTAATATGGTGTTTATGCTTCTCTGAGCCGAGGGTCTATTGGAAATAGTCTATCTCCACAAGGTAGAGATAAGGCTGCGTACACACTTCCCTCCCCAGACCCCACTATGTGGGATTATACTGGGTTTGTTGTTATTGTTGTATTCAACTGTGCAATACGTGTTACATGGGCCAGTAGAAAGCAGAGAATGTCTTCCATCTTTTTCTCCATTGTAAAGTAGAAGAGATATTTGGAGCATGTTCTGGTGTATTTTGGGGTACGGTGGATAATGCCCTACAATATTAGAGATGCTATGCAAGCTGGGGCCCGAAGAGAGTTGGGAAAGCCATCAAGAATATCTGGAAAATGGTTCCTGCATGCATGTTTTTGGTGTACGTTTTTGGTGTACCTGGACGGAGAGAAACCATAGATGCTTTGATGGTATCTCAACCTCCAATCACTCTTTAAAAGTTAGGTGTCTTTTAAAAAGAATTTGTTGGAGCAACTTATACAATGTAAATAGTATGGAACATATCATAGATTATGTTAGCTCCCTAAGCTTTACCTAGTCTCATCCTACTGGACCTAATTTCCTTTGGTAATCATTTGCATCCTCTGGATGCTTATTGGTGAAGTGTGTGATCATCTCATGTAAAAGCTTAAGCTGTTAGAGAGAACTCAATTTTTATTTACTTAATTATGTCTTCAACTGTTCAACACGGTTCCTCACATGGGGGCTTGATTCTTTTTGATGAGCCAAGCACATGAAAATTCTTTTTGATATTGAGTGACGGTGAGACTCGAACCCATGACCCCTGCCTGCTCTTATACCATGTTGAAGTGTGTGATTATCTCATCTAAAAGTTTAAGTTGGTAGAAAGCACACACTTTTATTTACATAATTATGTCTTCATACTTATCAATGAAATTTCTTACTTCATTAAAAAAAAAACATGATAACTTCATTCACGTACAAAAAATTGGAGATTGTTCGCTAACATGAGTCAATCAACTTCCTAGACAACTAAACATCAGTTACAATTTTCACCCATCTTAAATAAGCAAAACTAAACCTTGTGCGCGCAAGGTAGAGCAAAACGGAACTCCTCACAGTAAGCACCCGTATGCAACAATGTGCTCTAAGCAGTTGAAGCTTATTACAAAGCCAACTCTTTTGCACTGAGATAAATGTAATCTAATCTACACATCATAGCAAAAATTAGTCAACTTAAGTTCTCAAGTTTCTTTCTCTTTCTGTTTTGACCTCATTGAGGGAAATAACTATCTCCGCAAATTTTAGTCATCATCAGCAATCAATTCATGTCATTTAGCATGTGATTAACATAAAAGCAGCTTGCTCCGTTCCCAACAAGATCCATTTAGAGCGATGCAATCTTTCCTACACTATCATAGCACAAATTAGTCAACTACAAGTTCTCAAGTTGCTATTTTTCTACTTTTTCCAATGCCCTCCTTGAGGAATAGAACTATCTCTGTGAATTCTAGTCAATATCAGCAATCAATTCATGTCATCTAGCTTGTGCTTATCATAACACCAGCTTGCTATCTCCCCAACATGGTCCACCATTGGCACTAATAAAATACACAACATTCTTAGTCTTCCCAGTAACATTTCCTTACTTTAAACATCATAAACGATACCTACGCCCTCAATCCCAAACTAGTGGGTTCAGCTATATCAAAGGCAGATTTAGGATTTGACCTTTAAATTTTTTAGCATTGAACTCATTGCACTTTTAAAATTATGGGTTCAGATATAACATTTATTGAACCTTTAGTAGGTATGCACATATATATTTATATTCCATGTCGAAAATTGGGTTTGGATGAACTCATAACCAAAGGGCTACATCCACCCCGAGCCTATATGAATCCTCTATATATATTTCGCTCCAAGTCGAAAATCATTCCTTCTTTGTATTTCATACCTGACTTTCTTGATGAGGATGGATTTGAGCTTACGAGCGAGGTCTTGAGAACGGAGTTTACATTCAAGGAGCTTACGAGCCAAGACGCGCTTCTCTGAGTTCTTGATGTGGTGAAGCTGTTCACGCTTTATGAGGCGTTCCATTCCGCTGGACTGCATTTTCCTCTGCATCAAGAACAGTGCTTGGTCTAAGTTGTTGTTCCGCACCTTCACCCGTATGCCCCGCCATTGCTGTAGCTGCTGCTCCCAACTTAGTGGGTTCAACAAGGCTACGTTCGGTCGATTGAAGATAGTGGATACATGCTTCGCCACTGAGCTCATCATTTGTTAGGGTTTCTCGATTTGTTTGGTCCTGAAATGCAATTGGGAACCAGGATTAAGGAGAATAAACAAACTACAGAAAAATATAGTGTGGAAACGTCGAAATTGTCAAACTACATCCATCATTTGCTTTTTGTACAGAGACATCAGACAATATTCGAGTACTGTAAGATTAATGTTTCAGCAGCTTAAATTGAACAAGGAAGCATAGAACATGTTTTAAGAGATAGTGAAACGTACAAAACAGATAAAGCTGCAAAATATCTAAAATTACAAGGCCTTCTAAATACTAACAAAATAGAAGAACAAAAGAAGTTGGGATTTGGGAAGAGAAAATGCGACCCATAAGACTAACCTTGGTTGAAAAGAGATGTTGGGATTTGGGGGCGGCGTGGAAGATGTCAAGCTTTGACTCAGAATGAATATTGGAGTAGTGAGCTTAACCCCTTTGTTGCAGACAAAGGGCTAACCACTGGACAAAGGGCTAATTAAGGTTAAAATCGTAAAGTAACACCAGGAAACTTCACTTTTTGAACTTAACTAATCAATACGTATAAAATAATATCTCATATAATATTAAAACATATTTGTATTGAATAACACTAATTTTAAAGGAAAAAATACAAGTTCAATTTGATTAACGTTGATCCTATTCGATCAATGATTGTTAAAAGCAAAAAGATTAGGTATCTTCTAAATTTGCAACACTGAACATATACATTCATAGCTTTTCCTTGTCATAAATTTAAGGAAAGAACACAAAAAAACGAATGAATTTTTATATTAGTATGATCGAACTTTTTCAGGTTGTATACATAAATAAGAATTAGGTCAGAATGTAGTTAATGATATAGTGAAAAAATGAAATGACATAATTGATGTGATATGATTGGATTTGACACAGGCTACCTACGTATCCCCGGGTAAGAATTCATCCTATCCAAATATGCGTACAAGTTCAAAATTATTATGCCAACCTACTAGAATCTTCAAATCCTGATTTTGAGACATATGTGTAGGAATGAGAAGATTAGGCAGCATTTATGTATAGGATCGATTTTTACTTCTTTGGTAAACCCAACAATAGTTCATATTTGATAATCATTATATTAAAATATTATGAAGCTGATAATTAATTCTTTTCTCCTACTACTTCAGCCCCAAAAAGTTGGTCTGCCTTTGAGTTTTTTGGTATTCAAAATTATTGTACAAATATGACAATCGGTGCATTAAAAATTTAAATAAGTCAAATGGATGAAATAAAAAGTCATAAAGTTATTAAAGCATCCGTAAAAAAGTAACTAGAAAAGAAATAAACATACATAATTTAACACTTGTGGATGAATTTGGTGTGTTGGAGTTGATGATCAGATATGCAAAACAAAAAATAAATAGTATTTTTTATGGAAAGATATTTTTTTTCATATTGACAATGATTTTGACAGAAAATAAATTAGTTAATCGGGCTCATGCCGACTCATGATTTAACAAATAAGAGAGGAGAAAAGGCTAACATAGATGAATACGTAATTACTGTTTTGAAGCTGAAAAAAATAATATTAAACTAATATTTTAGTGATTGAGATAAAATATACATTTATAATACGAAATTGAAAGATGAAAATAACTTTAAGGAATTGAATAAGCTATGTGAATTGAATCCCTCGGCCTTAAAGGAATTAGCTTTAAAAACATGGAACCTACATGTACAATCCAAACATCACAATGTTAAGAAGTCGAACATGAGTTGATATCATCTTCTACTTTTGTATCTGTACTATTTATTTTATCATTATTGAAGACTAAATTCTTTTTGTACAATAATTACATGAGTAGTTTTCAAGTTCAAGACAAAATAGTTATTTCAGTTTTGATCACGTGCATTGCACGTATATTTCATGCCAGTTAATATAAACATTTAGAATATCACACAATATTAACATATGTGAGATATAAATAATATCTAAAGTTAAGATCAAAATATAAAAGATGATTGTTGTACATCTAAGCTTATCTTATATTTTATATTTTCAATTTATCATAGGGGTGGGATAATACCGGCCGAATCGAAAAATCGGCCGAACAGTGAATATCGATTTTTCAATTTCGATTTAATCGGTTATTCGGTCGGTGTGCGATTTTTAAAGTATTAAATTTCAGTATTCGGTGCGATTTACGGTTTTGGTGTTTCGGTTTTCGGTTAAACCGAAAAACCGAAATTTTGGGATGCAAGCTAAGCAACTAGTAAGAGATGCAATTGTAGACAATTTCATGACCAATAGTACTAAGTCCGGTACTCGACTTGGTGGTGTGATTGTTGACATGTTTAGTAAAAAAATGATAGAAGTAGCAACAGAACTTGGTTTATCGAACCGTACTTTCATAATAACCGACCAAACCGACCGACGCTCACCCCTAATTTATCATTTCATAATATAATTTTTAGATATCTTCAAATCAAACACATAGAAGAGATATATAGAGGAGAAAAGGCTAACATAGATGAATACGTAATTACTGTTTTGAAGCTGAAAAAAATAATATTAAACTAATATTTTAGTGATTGAGATAAAATATACATTTATAATACGGAATTGAAAAGATGAAAATAATTTTAAGGAATTGAATAAGCTACGTGAATTGAATCCCTCGGCCTTAAAGGAATTAGCTTTAAAAACATGGAACCTACATGTACAATCCAAACATCACAATGTTAAGAAGTCGAACATGAGTTGATATCATCTTCTACTTTTGTCTCTGTAATATTTATTTTATCATTATTGAAGACTAAATTCTTTTTGTACGATAATTACATGAGTAGTTTTCAAGTTCAAGACAAAATAGTTATTTCAGTTTTGATCACGTGTGATCACGCCCAACTATGCCTTATAAAAAAGACTAAGCGGTCGCTGCAAATATAATCCGGTTTACAAGTCCGGAGTCGAATCCCACAGAGAACTAAGGTTTAGCTACAACTGTTCACTATCACCAAGAAGACAAGCTTGAACAATTCCTAACTTATAGATATTAAGATTCTTGTGTTTAACTACTTAACTAACAAATTAAAATAGTAAATTAACAACTAACGATACTGAGGGTTAGAGAAAAGATTAAGGAGGTCTAGAGTTATGATTTCCCCAATTGTCGGAATCCTTCCCGTTATGTCTTCTATAATTTCGCCTAAGTATTCTCTACCGATCATGAGCACTCTTATTACCGTAAATCTCTCCCGAGTAATTACGACAATTTACTAGACGCACTCTCCCGAGCTACGTTAGCTGGCTTTTAATACAGCTCACTTCAGATCGCACCCAAGGCTTCGTTATCCCTAATACCCTCGGTTATTGATCCCTCATATACTCCGGGAGTGGTGTTGTTCAACAATTACCTAAATATGCACTATCTCCCGAGTTATGCATACTAAATAGGCACAGCTAATTGAGAGCTCTTCAATCAACCAGAATATAAACGTAGTTGAACAAATAGAGAAAAGCTATGGCTCAATTATATAAAAACATAACAAGAATTTATCCTACAAAAGGTTCTATCAAAACTCTAGAGAACAAATTAGCTATTCATAATAGTATGTAAAACTACAATACTAAAAGTCATAACCAACAATGAAAAATAGGAAGAGGAAGGAAAAACTCGTAGAAGAATTCTCCGCCTTGCTCTCAATGTGTTCTTGCCTCCTTAGGTCGAATCTATGTCCAAAATATGTCCCCCTCTTGTTCTTGGCCGGCCTCCTTTGTTTAATATAGGGTTTAGGACTTAAAATCCCATGTTTTGCACTTTAGTCCCTGAAATTTTCGCTCCCTGCCTCGGTTTTGCCGCGGTCGCGGTGGAACCGCGGCCAAACATGCCCTCTGATTCTTCAGTTGTCCGCGAGTACATCTGCCGCGGTTCTGCGCGGTTCTGCAGCGGTCGCGGAAAAATCGCGGTTTTTCACCCTGTTCCGTTTGGAATTTGGAAAAACGTAAAACATGAAAGTTGTAGCCCTTTGAGTTAGCTTTCCAACTATATATTGTGGAGCCCAAATGGAGTTCTGAGCAAAACGTTATGTCTATTTTACTAGACAGTGCGCAATATGTCTCCTCAAGTCTTCGTTCGTACTTAATTATCAAATTTGACCCCCGAACACGATCCTGGCTTAATTCCTTGAGCTTTTACTCGGACTTCAAAGCTTCAAATCACTTAAATTCATTCCATAACATCTATATAGCTCGAAACCACACCTGCAAGGCATAAAATACACAATTAGTGCAAAACACTAGCGATTAAAGCGCAAACTCAATTAAAGTGCAGTAAATTAGAGTGTAATAAGCGACTAAAATATGCAATTATAGCCTATCATCAACGTGCATTGCACGTATATTTCATGCCAGTTAATATAAACATTTAGAATATCACACAATATTAATATATGTGAGATATAAATAATATCTAAAGTTAAGATCAAAATATAAAAGATGATTGTTGTACATCTAAGCTTATCTTATATTTTATATTTTCAATTTATCATAGGGGTGGGATAATACCGGCCGAATCGAAAAACCGGCCGAACTGTGAATATCGATTTTTCAATTTCAATTTAATCGGTTATTCGGTCGGTGTGCGATTTTTAAAGTATTAAATTTCAGTATTCAGTGCGATTTACGGTTTTTGGTGTTTCGGTTTTCGGTTAAACCGAAAAACCGAAATTTTGGGATGCAAGCTAAGCAACTAGTAAGAGATGCAATTGTAGACAATTTCATGACCAATAATACTAAGTTCAGTACTCGACTTGGTGGTGTGATTGTTGACATGTTTAGTAAAAAAATGATAGAAGTAGCAACTGAACTTGGTTTATCGAACCGTACTTTCATAATAACCGACCAAACCGACCGACGCTCACCCCTAATTTATCATTTCATAATATAATTTTTAGATATCTTCAAATCAAACACATAGAAGAGATATATAGAGTTTGAGTCATAGCCAAAATTGAACAATCAATTTAAAAAGAATAAGTTTAGGATTCTAGATTTGACTACAAATGAATAATGCAGACAAATTAGGTTAGAAATGCGATATTTGTCGGGCAAAGGGATTCCAATAGGAAGAAAAAATGGTCGAATTGCAATCTTTTGAATCCAGCGCTTTTACATTTTGTACATATATATTGAAAGGATTATTTTATTTTAAAAGGATATACTAATTCATCGATACTACAAGAATATACATTTAGTACAAAATCAAATAATCAACAATATGCAAGAGAGGTTTCTTTACTGTCACGACCCTAAAATCGATCCGGTCGTGATGGCGCCTATCGTGAAACTAGGCCAGCCGACACAATTCCCGAATTAACCATTTAATCAATAACAATCACTTTTAAGCCTTTAATTAATCAGATATATATCGTAATATAAGTCTAAATGAACAATGCGGAATATATACACAAGCCCGACATCGGGGTGTCACAAG